AACACTGGATCGATACACTGATTATTGGATGATCCAATCAGCTGATCCTGATCCTGCTGCGAGGATCTAGAAGATATATATTTGCTGAAGGTATAAAATGCAATTAATCACCTCTTAATCTCACTGCTGCAAGGTGTGTGTGTGTGTGTGTGCGTGACTGCTAAAGTTAGCGCATTCAATTCTAACCGGAAACGAATTTAACACAAGCTTTTTCATTGTTGGTCATCCAAATATTGGATTATTATTCAGTATTATTTCGATGTCTTATCATTAATTGAATTGCTGCTTATTACATTTCAGATTTATTCAAATTAAATACCATAAATATATAAAATAGCTTTACTTTATGAAACGTGAGAACTGCATGTTAAAATGATTGTATTTTGGACCCAGTTAGGATATTTAAATTTAATATTTAATTTAAAACAAAACATATAAAAAGACTAACACTGTAAAAATGTTTTTTTTTTAGGTGTAAATAAAACAAGATTATTGGAGTATGTTTTACTAGAAAATACTATTTAAGTATTTCTTCAACATTTCATGTTTACTTCAATTTGTTACTTGCCATTTCTTTGTAATTTTCTGTGAAATTTACTACCAAAGTGAAAATTGTTTCTACACCATTTTTCCCAGCCGCAGTTGTTGCCTATATATCTGTTCAGCAGGTTCTGATGTTGTGCAAACTTTCTGCACAAAAACATACAAATCTGAAAATTCACATACCCATTTGCAATGTTATACTTTAGTTTTTCTTTGTTTGTTTGTTTTGCTGCGAGAGCAAAAAAACATTGTTTGGACTTTCAATACTGACACCATAGATACCATAGATTTAATACTGTTTACATGACGCCTGAATAGGCTATATGCACGCATAACTTCCGCCTTTGACGCAAGGCTGCTCTTCGGTTTCCGGTTGGGGAGATTTAAAGTGGAGGAAAAGGGGATTATGGCAGAGTCTTCAAAATTTGCTGTCCTCCCGTCTTTGAAACGAAACTTTCATGCGTTTAGATGTCATTATATATATCTATATATATATATATATACACACTCACCTAAAGGATTATTAGGGACACCATACTAATACTGTGTTTGACCCCCTTTCGGCTTCAGAACTGCCTTAATTCTACGTGGCATTGATTCAACAAGGTGCTGAAAGCATTCTTTAGAAATGTTTGCCCATATTGATAGGATAGCATCTTGCAGTTGATGGAGATTTGTGGGATGCACATCCAGGGCACGAAGCTCCCGTTCCACCACATCCCAAAGATGCTCTATTGGGTTGAGATCTGGTGACTGTGGGGGCCATTTTAGTACAGTGAACTCATTGTCATGTTCAAGAAACCAATTTGAAATTATTCGAGCTTTGTGACATGGTGCATTATCCTGCTGGAAGTAGCCATCAGAGGATGGGTACATGGTGGCCATAAAGGGATGGACATGTTCAGAAACAATGCTCAGGTAGGCCGTGGCATTTAATCGATGCCCAATTGGCACTAAGGGGCCTAAAGTGTGCCAAGGAAACATCCGCCACACCATTACACCACCACCACCAGCCTGCACAGTGGTAACAAGGCATGATGGATCCATGTTCTCATTCTGTTTACGGCAAATTCTGACTCTACCATCTGAATGTCTCAACAGAAATCGAGACTCATCAGACCAGGCAACATTTTTCCAGTCTTCAACTGTCCAATTTTGGGGAGCTCTTGCAAATTGTAGCCTCTTTTTCCTATTTGTAGTGGAGATGAGTGGTACCCGGTGGGGTCTTCTGCTGTTGTAGCCCATCCGCCTCAAGGTTGTGCGTGTTGTGGCTTCACAAATGCTTTGCTGCATACCTCGGTTGTAACGAGTGGTTATTTCAGTCAAAGTTGCTCTTCTATCAGCTTAAATCAGTCGGCCCATTCTCCTCTGACCTCTAGCATCAACAAGGCATTTTCGCCCACAGGACTGCCGCATACTGGATGTTTTTCCTTTTTCACACCATTCTTTGTAAACCCTAGAAATGGTTGTGCGTGAAAATCCCAGTAACTGAGCAGATTGTGAAATACTCAGACCGGCCCGTCTGGCACCAACAACCATGCCACACTCAAAATTGCTTAAATCACCTTTCTTTCCCATTCTGACATTCAGTTTGGAGTTCAGGAGATTGTCTTGACCAGGACCACACCCCTAAATGCAGTGAAGCAACTGCCATGTGATTGGTTGATTAGATAATTGCATTAATGAGAAATTGAACAGGTGTTCCTAATAATCCTTTAGGTGAGTGTATATATATATATATATAAATAAATATATAAATATATATATATATATATATATATATATATAGTTATGTTTATTTAATATAATAAAGCAAATAAGCGTAAACAAAATGAGGGGTGGCTGTTTTGTCTGTTTTTGTGTCTAACGTTCCTTTAGTATAGCCAAAGAGTATAGAAGCCAATATAAATTCTCGGTATAGCATAGCACTCTACGATCGGCTGAAGTAATCCAGGAAATACGTCATGCACCGCCGTGCATAGAGCCTATATATCTTATATCTGCGAGACAAGTAGCCTATATGCTAAGTGTCACAAACTGCTCCGAGACACGAAGGTTGAGATCCAAATGCCGCTTTAATTAGGGGCAATCCAGACACGTAATCCAAAATGCAGGCAATAGGTCAAAACACAGGTAGGCAGTCCAAACAAACAAACAAACAAACAAAACATGCAGGGGTCAGAGGCAAAAGAGTAATCCACGGAACAGGCAAGAAATTCAAAAACCAAGAGACATAAAACCAAGGAAAACGCTCGGAAATGCAGTGCAACAACATAAAAAACTTTGCAGTGAGTGAATGAGTGAACATGGTATAATAGACCGAGACTAACAGGGTAATGAGACACAGGTGAATGCAATCAGTGATGAGTCCGGGCAGTGAGTTATGGGAAATGTAGTTTGTGAGGGAGTGATAATAGTCTGGTGTGGAGTGCCCTCTGGTGGCTCTCAAGGGCACTCCAGCTGGTGACCGTTACACTACGTTTCGGTGCATTTTTTGTGACGCGCTCCAGTTCACGAAGACCGAGACGGCAGAAAGCACATTCTGTTGTTTTTCTTTATTTTACAAAAGTACAACATTTTGTTGTTACTGTGTTTACATAAATAAAAGTAGACATTTACGGTTTCGATTGATGTACTCTTATCTGTATATATGACAAAAGATGACAGAGTATTTTAAGTTGTTTCTGCTGTTATCAGGAAAGAATCGCGCTGGCGTCTCCATGTCATTCAGGTCTAATACTTTAGCTTTCACACTCCACACAAATACTTGGATATGCTCCTAATAATAGAGCACATTTATCTAGGTTAATGTTAGAATGAGCGGCCAAGTTACTGACATGTTTCAATTGATAAGCCATATTTAAGGTTGATGGATGATTGGATTTCCTGTCTGACTTACTGTAATTACCACAAATAACAGACCTTTTTTTTTTTATTACCGACTAATAGAATTTTGGTCGAATAAGCCTCGTCTCGTCGACTAATGTTCAGTCGACTATTAGGGGGAATCCCTGGTTATATCATATTTCACTATTAATAGTCTATTTATAAATTCGTTCTATCTCTTTAACCAGAACTATTGTTACAATCATGATGGAGAGCAAAAACAGCATTCAATCTTCGTCACTCTCTCAGCCCCTAAGCTAAAATAAAATAATACTATAACTGCCAACGGGTGGTGGCAAATTGTTGTCTTAACGAGTGACTCGCTGAATAATTTAGTCAAACGATTCCTTCAAATCGGCTGATTCATTCATTCAGGGACAACGCAAGTATCTACTGTCTTTATGAGTAGGTCGATGAGTCGAACAGGAGTGCGTTTCCCAAAAGCATCGTTGGCCAACTATGATCGCAATTTCCATTGAACTCTATTGGTAACGACGGAACTTGCGACCATAGTTGGCTTTGGGAAATGCACTCCAGACCGAGTCGTTCAAAAACGCGGATTCATTCAGTAACGAAACTGAAACGGTTGCTCTGACCGAGACGTGCAATGGCTCTACTGTCTGAAACTATTTTCACTGGCAAAATAGAGCAAAAACAGTCAATATGGACAATTTTGGGCTGGTTTCACAAACAGGGCTTAGATAAAGCCAGAATTAGGCATTAGTTCAGTTAGGACTTTTAGTAGCTTTTATAAACGTGCCTTAGAAAAAAAAAACATCACTGGTGTGCATCCTGAGACAAAACAATGGCACTGACATATTTTAAGATTGTAAGATTTTTTTTTAGATTTTAAGATTTGCAAGTTGCTTTCAGTTAAAACTAAAAAGTCTGTGAACCCAGGGGATAGTGTCTAAAATGTAAGTCACCTAATATTATCTACTCGTTTATTGAACTGTATAAAATCAATTTTACAAATCAGCACTCTTGCTCATGTGGTATTGCTTATAAATATTAAAAACAATAACTTATACAGAGAGATTTTTTTGCACCATATTTTATATTTTGGGGGTATTTTTGCCCCAAGCCCCTGTTATGTTCAGACCCAGTGTGTGTGTGTGTGTGTGTGGTGTGATGGGATGGGGCTCTATTTTAAGTGAGGTCAGTTTCAAGTGAAACGGGTGAAACATACACTCTCAGAAAAAAAGGTACAATATTAGTACCTAAAAGGAACAAACGTGTACCGCCCCAGTGACAGCTTTTGTATCTTTTTTTTTCTGAGAAGGCCACTACTGACAATGTGGCCACTTTAAATATACCGTCTCACGGTTTTGTTGTCATTCATTGCAAATTGAATTTGGCGTCTACCCTGACTAAGGTCTATTGATTGTTCCACTTGTGTAACCCCTAAATGATTTGGCATGCAGCCTGCTATATTTGTCCCAATTCAAAACTCCTTCAGCCTGTGTGCCGTAAATTATGTACCTTGGTTTTACGTGAGCTGGACTGCATTAACGTCCAGCAATTCACAAGCCAGCTTGCTAATTACGTTTTTCTTATCTCTCCATGTCCAGTGTGTATGGCTGTCCCGTCGCCAAGAAGAGAAAACCCCTGGAGACTCACGCCCTGGAGCCCTCGGCCAAGAGGAAGGTCTTTCTAACAGTCGTAGACCAGCAGTCAATGGAGAAATGCTACAGGACACACAAAATGGAGGAGATGGATGAAAAAGAGGAAGAGGAGGAGGATGAGGAAGAGGAAAGGGAAGAAGAAGAAGAGGAAGCCGATGAGGAATATACAGACAACGAGGAACAATATGATCAGGAAGAGGTAGAAGTGATTAATGGAGAAGAGGAAGAGGTGGAGCAGGAAGAAGAGGAAGTGGTGGAGGAGGAAGAAGAGGAAGAAGGAGTAGAAAGAGAGGGGGAAGATGATGAAGAAGAGGATGAGATAGAGGAAGATGAGGAAGAGAATGAGGAGCAAATTCAAGAAATAGGTGAGGGCACAAATAAATTCATAAGAGAATGAGTTATTATGCAGAGATCTGGCTCCCAGTTTTAACCCTGTAAAGCATTGATCATTTTGGAGGCCTTGGGAATGTGTGTATCAAATCTAATACAATAGGCTTTATAGGGTTAATCTGGCAATAGAATGCTTTATTTTGGGGTTTAGAAACACAACCAGACCTGAATGTGAAGTGAGTATTTCAGCCTCCAGAGGGGTAGAGGAGGTGATTTGGCAGTTAGGCATCTTTAGAAGAAGGTCACGGTAATTTGAGGTGCAGTTGGATGATTTTGCGATGACCTTCAATGCGGTCTCAGTATCAGGCTAAAAACAGCCCTCTCAAAACAGAGGTGCTCAGTTCCCAATGAAGGTGAGATTTGAAGTGCAGCGCTCTGGCAGGGCCAATGCCCTCAAACATGAGCAACATTCAGATTGATAAAAAAAAGTTTCAAAACCTTAAAGTCCCCCTGTGGTGAAAATAAAGTTTTTAATGTTGTTTATATGTCTATGTGGTGTTTTTAATATGCTTTAAGACAAACCATGTGTAGATTCATAAGTCGACAGCATTGCTGAGTATTTTCTGCTTAAAACTGCAGTGAACCAAAGACAGTCTCAAAAACACGGTGTGAAATCGCTGGTGTTTCTGACGTCACAAACGACCTTGTAACCAATCAGATCAACGTGTGATCGTCAACCAGTGGATCTCTGAGCTGAGTGAGTGAGTGGAGGCGGGGCTCATTTGCATATTCATAGAACCGCATATACTAAATGAGGCAAGGGTGTCGAGTTACATTCAAGATATTTTAAGGTAGAATTTTTCAAGGAAAAAACTTTTAAATGTCATTTTGGTGATCAAAGTTGAGTTTTAAGGGATACAATTATTCACTACAGGGGGACTTTAAGGAAACATTTCCGACAATATATATATTTTCCATAATTTAATTTGAACAACAAATACTATTGGTTCTACAGTGACTCATACTGTGTAAGGTTACAGTCTTGCAGAGAGCATCAAGATATTTATTGCTACTAATCATAACATGACGCAAGGGGTTGATCGACTTCAGAGTTTTTAAGTCGCTGATGATGTCACTAATAATAACACAAGAGATGGGAATGCTTTGCAACATGCCACAATTTGCAACTACAGGCTAAAGTTTGTGAATAAATTTCGATGATGGTTTGAGAAAGTCGAGACTCGAACTCGGGTGGCCTTGTGCACAGCTGCGGCTTTTGACAGTACGCGGCCCACAAGGCTATCGCTCCGTCGTGACAGCACACTTTTATCAGTTATTTTGTACAATAAACGTGCATTCACACGATCAATATTGAGTATCCAGATGATATACACAAACATAACTTGTGGAGCGCTCTCTAAATATGCATTTATTTGTCATTTTGGAAACAGGATGTAAAAGAGAACTTTAAAGATTTCTTATCCTGTGCCCCCCTCTATAGGACAGTATTCGTATTACAGCCAATGCAAATCTATCCATCATTAAATTTGATCAATAAATACGTATACGTACGGTGATAATGTACATCCAGCCGGTTGTTATCTCAGAATAAACCCCCGACTGGGTGATCAGGATCTTACATTAGCCTGAAGGGGTTTATTCTGAGATAACAACCGGCTGGATGTACTGTACACTATCCCGTTTATTACACGGCTATACTTGCCACATAAGTGAATAATTAGAGACGAAATATTGATCTGAGTGTAAATATTTTGTTAGCTCTTTAAATGCAAAGCTTCTGCGGAAAGAGCAGTTGCTAGTAAGCGGCATGTTCAAACTAGACGGACATTTAAGAGATAAGTTATACAGTCATACCACTTATTACACAGTATTTCGCCACATAAATAATTATGGGGATAAGAGATATTGATTTGAGATTAAACTTTTTTTAAATCATACCTGTTTGTTATCTTATGATCCAACAGTGTACAAAACAATAGTCCCAAAATGGCAGCGGCTGCGTTTGTATGAAACGAGAGAGCGAGTCCACGATACTGGATGACATAATTAAATAACTGTACACAAAATATTGATTTGACTGAGTTTTAATATTTTATTAGCCCCCCAAATGCAAAACTTCCACAAATCTATCTATCTATCTATCTATCTATCTATCTATCTATCTATCTATCTATCTATCTATCTATCTATCTATCTATCTATCTATCTATCTATCTATCTATCTATCTATCTATCTATCTATCTATCTAACTATATTAGAATGAATGGCCACAGGTTGTTTCCTAGCCATTCTTTTTGTCTATAAATGGTTTCAGTATTTGTCTGAGCTGGTGGCTCAGTTCTGGTGGTCTGTGAATGTCTGCTAAATAAGGGAGTAGGCGTGAGATGTGTCTCAGACACACACACACACACACACACACACACACACACACACACACACACACACACACACACACACACACACACACACACACACACACACACACACACACACACACACTCCTTCCACTCATTCTCCAATCAGACCTGACAGAGCCTTCTAGTCTAATTAACAATCAAACGCCCACGTGTATTGGCATTAACCCTGTATCCTGTGCTGTTTTCTTACCTAAGATATTGGCTTTGTCTCAAAACCTAGTGAGCTGACTACATGAACAGTTGTCGACAGCATGTTAATTAAATTAGAACCTTATAAGTTACTGATTTTGCTCTTCAGGCACAGCTTCATTAACAGCCAATCCCGCATCGCACACTTGACTAACCTTCTGCTGTTAGCATGTAGCTAAGCTAATGATTCGATACTAATATATACCATGAACAGTTGCACTCATAAATATTGAGAAAATCATTACATAGAATTAATATGCATTATAATAATTAGATCTTTCATTTTTTTGCGTTCAAATATTTTCATATTGATAATCAATATTTTCCTTGGCAACATTGTCCATGTTGGATCATTATATATAAGCTAGATTTACGATGTTAATTATTACTTAAAATGTGTGTGTGTGAAAAGGCTTTCGTTTGTAATGTTATAACAGTGCTGTAGTTTACCAGCTAACAAGCTCATTTTTCCAATCATCACAGCCATGAGCTGGTCATTATTGCAAGACGATTTTAAAAATGACAGGCTGGTTGTACATGATCATTCCTACATGTTCAATCATTATCAATATTTATATTATGCAAAGTAGTAAATATTTTGAATATGCATAGATTTAAATTATTGGTCATGGTACACTTACCTCTTACTGTAGGGCTACTTATCAAATAGGCCTACATAGATATGTGAGACATGAAATATTGATTGTAAATTGTGTTTTTATTATCTTACTTTTAGATTATAAAATTTGGGGGACAATGTGGCCATTTCTAATTGGGGGCGGGTTGGGGGGTTGTCCCCATCAATTTCTAAGGCCAGGTCTACATTAATCCGGATACAAACGTTATTGTTTTCAAATACCTCAGATTTCACAGTCCAGGCTTCAATGCAAAAAAAAAAAAAACCAAAAAAACTTGTTTTCAAAATGATCCACTTTGGATCTTTCAGTTTAACTGCTACTGTAGTATGAAAACATTTGCTTGTCTTTCACAGAGAGTGACCATATGAATTGCAGTCCCAGCAGATCAAGCCCCTCCATGGAGAAGGACAACAACAACAACGAAGAATATGAGAACTATGATGAACTGGTGGCCAAATCTCTGCTTAACCTGGGCAAGATCGCAGAGGATGCTGCTTACCGGGCCATGACCGAGTCCGAGATGAACAGCAACTCCTCAAACAGTGCAGAAGAGGAAGAGGAGGAGGACGAAGACGAAGAGGACGATGAAGATGATGAAGACGAGGAGGGCTCAAGGAAAGGTGAGCTGAGTCTGGATGTGAACAGTGATGTGGTAAGAGAGACTGTGGACTCTCTAAAGCTCCTGGCTCAGGGTCACGGGGTCACGCTCTCAGAAAACCTCCATGAGGAGCCGTACCAGGACGACGGGGGCGAGAACATCAACGGCAGAGCCACCATCACTGGGCAGATGGGGGAGAAGAGTGACGAGGAAGTTTGTCTGAGCAGTTTGGAGTGTCTTCGCAACCAGTGCTTTGACTTGGCGCGCAAGCTCAGCGAGACCAAGCCATCCGAGCGGCTCAACAATAACCAGCAGGTATGCGTGTTCATTTAGAGTTTTTTCCATAACCAATGATAGCGAACGCACGCTAACCAACCTTTAACCGAGTGCCTTTGAGCATTAAAAATACTAACCAAAAAAATTCATAAGAAGGGGTTTATTTTTATATTGGCACATAGCAGCATAAACAACAACAAAACATTTAGGATTGTTACATTACCAGCAGCGCTGCTGTGAACGGAGAAAAACAAAAAGGAATAGAAAAAAATAGGCCTACACAAAGTATATTTAATTTAAATCACTAACATTAGCAAAACGAAACCACACTCTGAATCCGGGGCCGATTGTGCTGTGAATATCGGCAGGGTTGCCAAGTTCACAGGTTTCCTGTAGAACTTCACTACTTTCCCTAGGTAATTTTTTTTCCCTCAGGTTAAAGTTTTGACATATTGCATAAATTGTATTTGACTGAATGAAATATTTGACACCCTACCAAAACACACGAGGAGTTTCATGAGGTTGAGCTCCTTTATGAAACTACCGTATAGTAAAACCTCAGACAAGCTCAGTGCCGAATCGGTTTCCGGCAGTTCTTTTTCGTGAATCGAAATGTGTGCAAAGGACTGTGGGTGATTGAGGGACGTGAAGGATACACAAAACGACTGAATGAAGGAGGCAAAACGAAGGCTGGCTTCTGGATCCTTTAAATTGAGACGCCGTTCGGCGCTTGATGACGTGGCAGCCGAGAAATGCAGCCTTGTGTTTGAGAAGCAATCCATATGTGCAAATGAGTAAAGATTCACAGCTCCTGAGATTGTCTTGCACCGCGCATTCAGAAGAGAGAAACGTTCCTGAGGCACGTTCAAATACATCATTAACAACTAGTTGTTGGTTCAGATTTGTACACACTGTGTAGAAATTGGGTAAATGCGGGTGTCACTATCTCAATTTTTCGGGAGTTAATTGGGATTGGTAAAATGCGGTTTTCACTCCTGTGTGTACAGAAAATGATTAAAGTGCCCATATAATGTTTTTTTTTACTTAATTTTTTTGTGTAATATAGCAGTTTGTGCATGTAAACAATCTGCAAAGTTACAAAGCACAAAGTCCACGCCTAAGCAAATGAGTCTCTCCAACAATAAAACACTTGCCTTGAAGTCGGCATGAAACAGTTAATGTCGTTAAAACTATATATTTAATCATAATAATGAGATACTAAGTAATTAAAATGACGTATTTACTCGTTATAATGAAATATTATATTGCTAAAACTACATATATTGTATGTGACATAACAAGGTGGGAAATCTGGTGAATGTCTTTATCACAGTCCGCGTTCAAAAAGTGTAAGCTTTAAATAATATTGTAAATATTTTTGCTGTAGCCTGTATCAATTGCAGTGCCCATAGCATGGGATTATTATGATCTATTGATGTTATAACGTGAAAAGCATATCGTTTTTAATGACATAATATGTTATGATAACAAGAAAAAATATAGTTTTAACAACACAGAAAATACATATAGTTTTAACAATATACCAGCTCATTATTACGAGAAAACATTGTTTAAACTGCATAACATATTGTTATAAATGCATAATAGAGTGGAAAAAAAGAATATGTATAATATGCAATGCACCTCTGTATATATCTGAGTGAAAGAGCTTCTCGATCAAGAACAAATGTATAAAGAGGCTTGATTTTGTTGAAGAATAAGAATTAATTGGATGATTGAATGGTTGTGGTTTGCTATTGGTGGATCTCATGTGAGTGACAGGTTGCCCCGCCCTCACGCCAGTAAACACATCATCAGAGAAGAGAAGTGATGTCTCTGAAAGAGGGAGGGGAAGTTATTTTGATGAAAGAGTACAAGGCACATGGATTATAAAAAGTAATGATGTGCACACATTTATGATAAATACTGCAATATTCCATGAAACAATAGGAATTTCCAATTTGATTTTATTGTGACAACTAAATTTATCTGCAATGTATACATGGCCATATACTTCATTTTAAAATTTGTATCATTGTTGGTTGGTTGGTTGGTTGGTTTGATGGATGGATGGATGGATGGATGGATGGATGGATGGATGGATGGATGGTTGGTTGGTTGGTTGGTTGGTTGGATGGATGGATGGATGGATGGATGGATGGATGGATGGATGGATGGATGGATGGATGGATGGATGGATGGATGGATGGATGGTTGGTTGGATGGATGGATGGATGGTTGGATGGATGGTTGGTTGGTTGGTTGGTTGGTTGGTTGGTTGGTTGGTTGGTTGGATGGATGGATGGATGGATGGATGGTTGGTTGGATGAATGAGGCATTTATATAGCGCTTTCATATGTACTACTGTACACCCAAAGCGCTTTACAATCATATCAGGGGTTCTCTCCTCAACCAGCACCAGTGTGCAGCATCCACTTGGATGATGCGACGGCAGCCACAGTGCAACGGCGCCAGTGCGCTCACCACACACCAGCTATAGTTGGAGAGGAGAGAGAGTGATGGAGCCAATTCAGTGGATGGGGATTATTAGGAGGCCATGATTGGCAGGGGCCAATGGGTGGAATGTGGCCAGGACACCGGGGTTACACCCCTACTCTTTGCGAGAAGTGCCATGGGATTTTTAATGACCACAGAGAGTCAGGGCCTCGGTTTAACGTCTCATCCGAAGGACGGTGCTCTTTGACAGTATAGTGTCCCCGTCACTATACTGGGGCGTTAGGACCCACACAGACCACAGGGTGAGCACCCCCTGCTGGCCTCACTAACACCTCTTCCAGCAGCAACCTGGTTTTCTCAGGAGGTCTCTGGATGGATGGATGGATGGATGGATGGATGGTTGGATGGATGGATGGATGGATGGATGGATGGATGGATGGTCGGTCGGTCGGTGGGTCGGTCGGATGGATGGATGGATGGATGGATGGATGGTTGGACGGTCGGTCGGTCGGATGGATGGATGGATGGTTGGATGGATGGATGGATGGATGGATGGATGGATGGTCGGTCGGTCGGTCGGTCGGTCGGATGGATGGTTGGATGGATGGATGGTTGGTTGGTTGGTCCTTGAGTCTCGAGAGGAAATTTGTTTCCACCGTAGATGTGTACATAACACAGACAACACATAATATGTTAAATTATCGACATATCATTACACCATCAAAAACTATCACAGACATCACAACAAACAAACAAAAAAGGCTGCTCCATCAAACCAGCTGGAACCAGCAACCAGCATACCGTGCTGGTCCCAGTATGCAAAACATACCTTATGCTGGTAAATTTTCCAGCAGGGGCATTAGTCAGTCCAAATGTTTTCTGTCAGTTAACGGTTAACCTGGTAATGATCTGCATCCCCACCAGCAGGCTCATCATCTTTATCAAGAGGCTCAACAGCAGCAGCATCATCAGACTCATGAGGAGTGCCGTGTCCTCGAGCGAAACTACTCCGACATGGTCAACCTGATGAAGCTTGAGGAGCAGCTCAGCCCTCGATCCAAGGCTTTCTCCAGCTGCGCCGCAGAGCACAAGTGCTTCCAGGACTGCGATGAAGACACCACCTCTGTCACGTCCGACCGCTCCGAGGACGTTTTCGACATGACCAAGGGCAACCTGTCACTGCTGGAGAAGGCCATAGCGCTGGAAACGGAGCGGGCTAAAGCTTTGCGGGACAAGATGGCGTCGGAAGCAGTCAGGAGAGATAGACTGCGTTTGCATGAGGACGTTTTGAGGCACAGCTGTGCCGAGGAGCGGAAGGCACGTCTGCACCACGATGGCCTAAAGAAGCCTTACTACCTTAAAGGTAATCTCATATTACAAAACACGACCAGTACTGGAACTGATTGTCTTAAGAGATAATTACCCAATATACTTGGGAGTAAAAAGAAGTTCAAAATACCTGAGCGGCAGCTTACTGAGAGTGGCTTTTAGATGCATATGTAATGTGTGTGCTGTGTGCTTTCCTCTCAAAAACAAAATAAACGCCACAAAAAATAAGAAAAAACAGCAGTTAAGAAAGCATCTGATCATAGCGAAGTGAACATGTTTGCACCAGCTCTGCAATTCGGGCTCTCCGGTCAAGTCACGTTACGTTCATTTGTATGGCACTTTATACAACAGATTGCTTTAAAGCAGCAGCTTTACAGTATTAAACATGAAACAACAGTGTCAGTCGCTTTCAATTAGACTTACACCTTCAACTTCTACTATAAAGCAGCTCTCCAGTGTGCTCTCCATTTGACTTTGACTGAACTGGGGTGTGTTTCCCGAAAGCATCAGGTTGTTTAGCCAACTATAGCTATCTGTCGCTAATTCCGTCGTCATCATCATAGTTCAACTAAATGATGTTTCCCGAAAACATAGTTCTAACGAACATTCGCAAACTGCATCGCAAAGTTGTGTGTTTGGAACGACAGCTCTCGACCTATGTTAGAGTTGCTTGTTTGCATGACATGTGGACTCAATAAATCCTTATTCTTGAGCAAAATAAGCAAGCTGACATTCAGTGCAATCTGTATCTTTTATTTAGAATACATACAAATGTCATTTACGTCTTTTAGTTCGTAAGAACCAGCCTATGATTGAATCTGGAAATAAAGCAAAGTAACTGAGATAAATGAGAAATAGTCCTCAGATGCCATGTCCGTAATTTATAGCAAAACCCTTTAGCATTGATTAGATCTCAAACAGATTCACTAAGAGTTATTACTCCTCCACCTGCGTGACGTCATAAACCAGTGTGGTTGAACAACCAATTTGCGACAATATGGTTTTGGGAAACAGTCGTGACTAGCTAGTTGATTTCTTCAACGATGTATCGTACTGTGGTAGTTAAGCAGCGAGTTACGTCGTTGTACGGGAAACACAACCCAGAACAGAAGAAATTAACTGGAGAAGATTTCCACCTCAAAGAAGGAACCAATGAACCAATGGTAGTTCAAAGGCGTTTATCAAAAATTCAAGTTTAGAGTAACCAAAACATTCATTCATTCATTTTGGCCTGATGTTGTTCAAAATGACATCACACCAGTTAATTCTTTGGCTTTGGCATTCTTTGGAAGTATATCAGGGCCTTTAGACCAGTGGTTCTCAACCAAGAGACCAGGGCACATTACGGGGCCTCGACAAACTTCCAAGGGGGCCTCAAGATTACTCAAAATTATGTAAAACAATAGAAGAAGAAAAACAATAAAGGAAGCTAAAACAAGTAAAAATCAAGCCTTCAAATATTGTTGTGGACAATGGGGGACCCTTGAAGTCAAGAGGATTGAGATCCACTGCTTTAGAGGATATTTCATTGTTCTGCTTCATTGAAGTACAAAATAAATGTTGAAAAGGTGGAGCCTCTGCTTTGAGGTCAAGTTAATCAAGCCAGTGATATGACTAACTAATGAATGCAAATAATACCCTCTCCAATTATATTTAGACCCGCATTTATTCATGCTGTTCATGCAATAAACAATTTTAACCCTGATTTTCCACTCACCGAAAATTAAGGGAGTTCACCGACAAAAGCCATAATCACAGGCAAATTGTTTGCATGAGTGACAATTACTACACTGAAAAAAATATTTGGTGTAGGGTTATTGCACTTTGTAACATGGAATTAAACATGGAATTTTTAAATACAAAATCTGGAATTGTTTTTTTTTTTTTTTTTTTATATACTCCAATAATCTTTGTTTTATTTACAATAAATAATGTGAGTTTTCAAAGACGCGATCTGAGAGAAGCGCCTCCACCCAAGAGATATTTAGCAGGTTAAATATCTAAACTTGTCTACGATCCAAGTCCTGCAGTGTGAAATGTGTTTTGAGTAGAACTGACATCGGCAATGACAGGCAGTTGTGAATAATCCACAGTTACTGTATGTATAATAGTACTTTAAAAGTCATGTAGTGTATGGGCAGCATTACTCTTAAAACAAAGTGAAAAATCACCATTTTATTCCATAAAATTGTTACTTAATACAACCCCTGATGTGTGTTTTGCATTATTTGTCTTAGTAAGAATAACAGTAGCCTATGTTAATGCACATGCTACTTTTGCACAAAATTTGTATCATCACCTTCAACAATGTATGTAATTACAGTTATTTTCTTCTACTCACCCTCACTTCGTTCCAAACTGTATGACCTCCTTTCTTCCATGGAACACAAAATTAGAAATTTTAAGCAATTCTTTCCATGCAATGACAAAATACATTTGCTCCAAAAAGAAAAAAGAACAAAAGACAGAAGCCATATGCTTTGTGTGAGGAACAGACCACCATAACTTCATTCACAACTCATGCAACTTGGCATGTTGCATGTGGTTAATAGACAGGTGAGAAGCAATAGTATTTCAAACCGGGCAGGTTTGAAAATATGCATGCAAAAGTTTAATAAATACAGTGCACATATTTTAGAGATCTGTGGAAAATGTACAACCAACGGACATTATTTAATTGTATTAGGCAATCTGAGCACCAACAGTGCTTTTGGAAAGTAGTTTGTACAGTATGTAAAATTATTGCCCCAAGATTTGTGACTTTGGTCTTCCTCCGCCTGCCATATCTTTATAATTAAATGACGTATATTGGGGCTTATCTTTAAAGAATTTTCTTCTTGTTTAGCAATGGAAATGTTCACCTATTCAATCAATCAATCAATCAATCAAAAAAAAAAATTAACATTGTTTTATATGATTTGGGACTTCTATTTTCTTTTTACATTTGACTCATGAGTAATGCTAACAAGTACACCAATGAACTATATAATAATATACAACCTAAATCAAAGTTATTGTATGGCTTCAGAACAGCTGTTCCTTTAAAAATAAAATGATATCACCCTACTCTTTTAACATCCCCAGAGCAGATAGGTCAGTTTCAGTGGACAGGTTCAGCGCTCTTCTGCGGTCCTTTGCTCTTAGAGAGGATCCCATACTGACCCCGGGACAAGCTTTCTCAAACATCCCCATGCCTGCAGTGCAAACAGCAGTGGCTTAATGTTGTTCAAACAGGCCAGCATGGCCACATCACAGGCTAAGCTTGTCAGGCATAAGTAATGGCGATCTGCACGGCCGGGAGAACAGCAAATCTCATCCCAGGGACACAGTCTGTGCTCATGCTGCCTATTTATAAACCTCTGCATGGAGATATTGCTCTGGCACTGGAGATCACTGCATGGAGAAACGGAAATTAGACAGTGCTGCTTATTCTGAGGAAGTGTCAAGGATTCCTGGTTTATTCCTGTTTCTCCAGGGATAGAGGAGCAAGATTAAAAGATTATTGTATCCACAAAACCATTGCATGTTCATGTCATACATAATCATAAAGCAGGCATTTAAAGAGGCCATGTGATGCTCTTTTAAAAGGTCATTATTTTGTTTATTGGGTGTACTAGAATAGGTTAACATGCTTTAATGTTCAATAAACACATTATTTGTCACATACTGTACATGATTGCAGCACCTCTATTCCCAGTCTGTCTGAAACGCTCTGATTTCTACAAAGCCCCTCCTTCCAAAAAGTCCAGAGTGCTCTGATTGGCCAGTTGACCCAGTGCGTTGTGATTGGCCAAACAGCTCTAGTTTCTTACAGTTTTTGTGCTTTTTCTGGGCGAATCGGAGTGAACTGCAGCGCTAATAGAGATTCATGAACACTCACGTCGTGCAGCCGTGCACAGAAGACCAACGGCCAAGAATTTTGTTAAATAATACATTTCGGTTTGTTTTTCACAATATCGCAAACCACCCGGAACACTTGGAATATACGCCACGAGTTACATGGGATAATTCTGTGATACTTTTGGTTCTTTTCTAAAAAGCTTGATGCTGGTCGCTATTATATGGTCGAGCACGAGCGGGACATTTTTTAAAGAATTATCCTTGTTTTTTTGTGGTCCATAAAGATGGGCATATGGCATTAGAACAAAACTAGGGTGAGTAAATTATGACTTACTTCACACTAAAATGAAAATGATCCCTTTTAGACCTAATGCATGGATCCAATGTACTGTTACATAAGCGGTTTTATTTCCCAACTGTTCGCTTAAGACATAACAGACTGTGCTTCAGCGAATACTCAACAAACTAGGGATTTTGACATTTGTCATGTATACATTAACATGTATTTGACCGATTAGGTTTGAACCCGAAGCCCAAAGTTCACTTCACATGTCCGTTTTCTACTCTATATGATGTATGTCTATGCAATGACTTTGCAGATTTATTGTCCTTTTCAGACACCTTGTGAACTGCCAGACCTGTAAATGTAATGAAGAAATTTTTAGCAGCGCATAGAAAAATTGTCTCGAAAGTTTTGCTTCATCTGATCGGCTCTTCTGATCGGCCTTTATAGAGACCACCGATCAAACTATTTCAAATGATTATCATGCAATAACAATCAGGCGCCCCGATCGGAGCAACCTTAATAACTATATAATAACCATGGTTCAAAATGACGACACATTGGGTCACTATATGCTTTCGTTGTATTGACAACTCTGACTCAGACAATAAAAAATTTCTCCTTTTGTATTCCACAGAAAAAAAAAGTCATGCAGTTTAAAATGAAATGAGGGTGAGTAAATTATGTCAGAATTGTCATTTTTGGGTGAATAAACCCTTAAAAACCCATGCAAACTTTCATCTGCCGTTCTCCAGATGAGGAAGGGCTGACAGCACGCATGAAAGGACGTTCGGCCGGCATGCACGGCAGACACTATCTTTCTAATGGCAGAATAATGAGGGATGCTTGGCTTTAACACTGCGATAGCATCTCGCCATGGCAGAAATAGCAGCAGACGCTGCCTAACCAGG